TCAGCCTCCTAGAGTATTGGGATTACAGACATATATCACCACACCGGGCTTATTTCTTTATTTTTAAATTAAAGTAATCTGTAGTTAGTATTTAAACACACATTTTAATAGGAAATGGTATCCATGTCATGCCAGAAAGTTGCTGCTTTAAACTTCCATTTGAAAGTAATGAGATAATGTATACCTTTTTGCTGGTATGTGCATACCATATTTAGTCACAGTAGTTGCCTCTGGAGAGAGATTCAGTATTTGGGGTCTGAGAGACTTATACTCTGTATTTCTTACCTACCTGATTTTTCCAGGGCCTGTATAATTTTCTATCATTAAAGAATAAAAGTAGCCTAATGAAGAGGAAGTAACAGGTGAAAGGACAGAAATGTACATAGATTTTGCTATGAAGAAGAGCAAATGAAATAGGAATGTGCTTGGATGCTGATGGGAACCATCTCACAGGAAGGAGAAATACAAGGTGGGTTCTAGGAAAGTGTACAGGATGCACGTTAGAGAGTGTCGTGGGACCAATACCTGTAGAAAGGACAGGAAAGAAGCAGGCATGGGCAGAGGGAGAACTCCAGCTGTGATGCAGACCCAGCATCCTCTGCCAAGCCCATAGGAAGCCCTGGAGCTCAGATATGCTTTGCAGATGTCAGGTGTTGGGTGGAGATGACCAGGTACTGTGTCATTGGCTAGGGGAGGCCCCAGCTGTTCTGGACAAGAAGCTCTGCAATCATGAAGAGATGGATAATTGGAGGCCAGGTGCTGGGACAGCAAGAACTCTACTATGGGGTCTGAGTGGCACATCAGTGTTCACCACAGGGAGAGACTGATGACTGATGGGCAAGGAGTGAAAAAGATACATCCTTGAGATAAGAAAGGCTGGAACCCAGAGCACTAAGGGTCAGTGTGTCTGGGTTAACATGTAGCTTCCTCTATTATGACACAAAGAAGGAGCTGGGGCAGGCGCCAGCCAGTGCGAAGCTTTGGAAGTGGTAGGAATACACAATATCCCACCATCTATGCTCTCAAAGAAGCTTTGAGAAATGCTACCTCTTATAGGAGAGAAAGTTAAGAAATGCCACAATGCCTGCACTCTGGAGGCTGAGGCAGAAGGGTCATCTGGAGTTCGAGACCATCCTGGACTACCTAGTGAGGCCCACTCTCATAAGAAAAGATGCTTGTTTGAGATGTTGGGAAAGAGGGGCTGCAGCACACTAATCGTCGGCACCACATGTTTTCTTCCATCCACTCAGCATTTCATGTCAGGAAAGCTGAAGACAAAATTGCCCTGAATGATTTCTCTTGCTAGGACAGAATAATGAGGGAGAGGTCTGAAAGTATTTATAGAAGAGGAGAAATGGAGGGGCTACTGATGTACAGTGGTAGAATCAAAGAAGGATTATGTAACTTGTCCAAAATCAAGACAGTCAGTGTTTGGGTGTCTGCACCCAAATTAGAAAAGCAATGCAGCTCTCACATAGCATGTTATGGTCCCAGAAGGAAAGACACAGCACCTTCCTTCCAAGTGGGCAATTCGAGGAGAGGAGAGTGTAACAAAAGGACTACTTACCAAAGTGCAGGAAGAGAACACACAACAGCAGTGTCACACTGCCACGGTTCTGGCAAGGGGACATCTTGGCTGGATCTCCTGTAGTTGTGATTTCTTTCCCAAGGAGGGAAGCAGCCAGCTTGAGGCCCTGCCAGATGGGCATCCTTCGCATAAGCAGCTCTCCTTGGGTCTCCCCACCTTCCCATTCCCTCTGCATTCTCCAGGAGCTAAGGGAACTTCCTTTCCCAGAGAAGGAAAGATTTAGAATAGGCGCACAAACTTGCTCCTCATAACATAGGTCACCAAGCCCACCTGGGCATCAAACTTGTGAAGATAAGGACAAGCATCTCTCTCCTGAAGTGGCACAGGTATCCTCATGGAAGGCAGAGCTTACTGTGCCTACTCGCTAGGTTTAGCCTCAGCATTGCAGGGAGAAGCCAACTGGGTCTGATGTGTGCAGACCAAGATCACGATCTCGCTGGAAAGGGTCTTTCCTATGGGTGAAACTTTCCAACTGCTGTTAGAGAATTTCTAATCTTTGTTGTGTGCTTGACTAATGACAGCCAGGAAGCTGGGCAAATGCTCGCCTCCGGGCAGTGGATCCCTTTACACGAAAGACTGCAGCAGGGACAGGAGTCCAAGCCAAAGGAAAAGACCCTTTTTGGTGCGTTGCAAGAGCTCCCCAGGACTGCTGTCCCTGCCACCTGGCAGCTGCTTCGAGGGGCGAGCCGGGGCGCTCCCTTGTGGGCGGGCGGGCACGAGCCGCGGCACCGAGCACCGCCTTTCTCTCCCTGCCCCTGAGAAGCAAGGCCCTGCCAGCTCGCAGCTGCTAACCCCCGAGGGGATGGCTGGCTGGCGGGGGAACTGCAGGAGGGTAAGGGTTCCGGTGGCAGGAACTGGGGCTCCGGGCCACGGGTTCAGGCAGCCGCAGGAAATGCCTGCTTTGCGGGCCTGCGGAGACTAGATGTGGGCACGGACCGGGAAGGCGGCTGGTCTCCAGGCCGAGCCGGCTGACGGCTCGAGCAGCTGTTTAGGCCAATCACCCCGAGCCTGGAGCTGAAGAAACTTCAAGTGAAACGTACTGCCGGGATCTTTGGGCTCAAGTCCGTCATCTTACAGATGCGACAGTTTAGGGCCACAAAGCGACCCGACCGCGGCCACACAACAGGCTGTTAAAAGGACTCGGGGTGTGGGTGGAGTGAGCAGCTGCCTCCCAGATTGGAACCCTCAGAGGCCCTAGTGCGCACTCCCACTTAGTAGTCCTAAATAAACAACTGAAGTAAAACATAAATCTGACGGGGTGTACTGGAACTATATTCTCTCTTTTTCATATTTTTCGGGTGCAAAGAGTTGAAGTTTACCAAAGGAGAACTTTTCTTTCGGTTTTGGTGACCGCGCTTTGCTGATGCCCAGGGGACCTAGCACTGCTAAGGAGCAGTTCAGGGCAGAGGCTCAGCGTCAGCTTGGCCTCCAGCTGTCCCCAGTTTGAGCTTCAGGTTTTAATCTTCTGGGTAGGACCGTGGGTGACATCGCGTTTGCCAAGTGCTGCCTCAGAGGGGTCGCGGCACGTGGGGCTTTCTGGACGCAGCCCCGGACTTCCGAGCACCGTGGGAGGGTCCGCTGGGTGGGCGAATCTGACGAAGCATCGGCTCACGGTCTTGGTTGTGCTTTGGCACTGCTGTCCAGGCGCCTGCAGACCCGCGGACCGTGAAGGCCCCGCGGCGGTGTTGCGCAGGCGGCAAACTGCTTCCATTGCTGGGGCGGCGGGGATTGAATTGCGCGGGGCAGGCCCAGGATGCGATTTAGCTCTGGGGCGCTCAGCTGTGGGCCATTTCCGACGCCCACATCTCTTTGCTCCCATTCCCTTTCTTCCTCCCTCCACCCATGGGAACCCCCCCACCCCAAATATATCCGGTGGCCTAGATATGTAATTGCTCACTTAATGGACTTTGCTAACCCACAACACAGGGACCGTTTTTATTAATACCCATTCAGGCCTGAAGTTAGCCACTTGGGAGCTACTTTTTACCGGACACACACCAATCAGCAACTTCACTTCCCACCTAAATAATGTGAATTATTGGGACACTCTTCGGAGACATTCACATTTTCCCCTTCACATTTCAGAACAAAAAGTTGGGCTGGTGCTCAATGCTCTCAGGTTTTAGGAGTTTAACAATAATTAATGCTAAATTAATTAGGTACATTAAAGTTTAAGGTTAATTAATTAAATGCATTCAAAATTAAGGGTGATTTGATCACTGTGGAAGAACAAACATAGCATCCCAGCGAGAGGGGAAAGAAAAGCTGGAAAGTTGTCACTGAATATAGAAGAGGTAAAAAATCCTGTCCTCTACCTAAACGATTTCGCTCTCAACAATTCTGTGGGGAAATGACTTGAGCTCGAGGTAGTTACAAGATCTCCCAGTGCACAGCAGGGCCATATGGGTCCCGTGGTGACCGTTGTGTTATCTGAATCCTCGCCGGGCCGGTCCACACTGACTACAGGCACATTTCCCAACCCGAGGCGCCAAAGTCAAATCGGCTTTTTCACTTGGTCCCGACGGCAGGGAACCGAAGCCAGGGCGAAGCGACAGGGGTTTGGGACACTGGGAACATTTACTGCTCAAGGGAGAGTGTACCGGCCGCCTGCGCCTTAGAGGGATGGGAGCGCACCTGGGTTCCACTGTGCGCGCGTGCGGGGACAGTGACATCCGGCGCGGGCGGAGGCGGTGAGTCACCTCGTGGGCGACATTCAGCCACCTGGACCGCGCTGGGTTGCAGTCGGAAGGAACATTCTGTCCCTGAACCGCTCGCGGCCGGGCCTTGAAAGCCCGCGGGCCTGCAGAGAGTGGGTTGCAGCTATCAAAAACTTTCTAAACTCGACCGGGGTGAACTAGAACTGAGATCCTGAGCTTCCTAATTCTAAATGCCTGGATGGTCAAGAATGTAGCAGTGTTAGCGGAGCGTGCAGCCCGGCCGCGCTGGCAGCCGGCGCGCCTTATGGTCCTTTAGAAGACCCGTTTCTCTGCCCCCGCCCTGGCGGATCCTTTTGCGGAAGACAACGCGGGAGGGCGGCGTTGAGTGGACTTCGACTATTAAACAAGTGCAACTCATTTAACCGTCAAGGATCTGCTTCAAATTGACTTTTAACTTACAAAAAAATTGGTGGCGAAAAATGACACCAAATAATCAGTGTCACCGTCACCGGTCAACAAACCAATCGGTCTTGTAAGTGGGGGTGGATATTGGCTTTAACATTATTTTTTCAGGAATAGGGGGAGGTAGAACATTTTCTCCTATCTAGTCTCCAACAAACTCATCTCGATAAAACTTCCTACACGGGACTCGCACTCAAATTTCGACCAGGAAACTTAAAAAAAAAAAAATCAGACTGTTCTCTTCCTGTTACTTGCTCCCTTTCTCCCCAACCTTTTCTCGGAAGTTTAGATGTTGGAAATTTTTCTTGAGGACATTTTCTGCCATCCTACTTAACCGGCAGGACGAGGAAGATCGCCCCTGGCAAAGGGTGAGGAAAAAACGAGGGTGAGGGTAGGAAGTTGCTAGCGATTTCCAAACAGGCTTTTCACTTAAACTTCCTAATCGACGTCTGTGGCGGAAGGAGCCCCTCGGAGTCTCCGGCGTGGGATGGGCTGGTTCGGGGTCTGGGTACATCTCCAGGCGGGCTCCCATCCACTTGCTTGCTACTCTGCAACAACCCAAGCCCCCCTGCTCTGGATGGAAGCTCGTGTTCCAGCATCTGGGCAACTACAGCCTAGGCTGGCTCCCAGGGAGCGAGTGCGGAAATGTGCGCGGGTGCAGGAGCGCACCGCTCCTGGGGTTGGACCTCTCCCAGTTTACCGTCTCTCCAACCTCCTTCCCACCTTCTGCTCCTGTCACCAGGCCCTGGCTCCGCCTCTCTGAAACCGCCCCTTATGTCCTGCAGCCAATAGCAACTCCCGGCCGCTTTCCACCGCCCCGAACCCTTTCCACACCCCCACGTTCCGAGAGAAGATTGGCTGTTTCGCTCTCAGCGAAGCGCCTACATTTGCATGGCACTCCGGGCTTCTGGTAGGTAGAGCGGCGCGTCGCTCCGAAAGGCCGGGCCCGCCCCCTCCACCTCAGTCCTTGGCTCTCTTCCTGCGCAGTTCTCCTCCGCAGCCCCTGCCGGGTAGAGCTGGGGCTGCTCTCAAGGGTCAGTTGTCGGGACTGCGAGGTGAGAGCCCCGGTGAGAGGCCGTGCGCACCATCTAGTGCGGCCAGGGGAGCAGGAGTGCTGCCTTTTCCTGGCTTCTCCTGAGCAGTCCTCTGCCACTAGTTACCGTCGATCCGACTTTCCGTTCCAGTTGCGGCTTCTCCCGGGCAACATGTCAAGAGCTGCCGCCACTCCAGCTGCCGCCGACACCTGGGGAAGAGCAGCCGCAGAGGCGGCCGCGGGCACGCGGGGACAATAAACCGAGTCACCCGGACCTCCAGCGGGCCAAGGGAACCTCTCCGTGCTCACGGCTCGGGCGGCCCGCGCTATGTGCTGAGCCATGCCCCTGGGCGCGCCCAAGGGCAGCGCATGGGGCAGCGCCTGAGCGGTGGCTGGCCCTGCCTCGATGTCCCGGGTCGGCTCTTGTCGCAGCCGCCGACGCCCCCGCCACCGGTGAGGAGGAAGCTCGCGCTGCTCTTCGCCATGCTCTGCGTCTGGCTCTACATGTTCCTGTTCTCGTGCGCCGGCTCCTGCGCTGCGGCGCCCGGACTCCTAATGCTGGGCTCTGGGTCTCGCGCCGCACACGCCCCGCCAGCCCTGGCCACAATTCCGAATGGGACGCCCCCCAGGCTGCCTTTCCGGGCGCTGCCGGCCACGGCACTGGCTTCGGGCAAGGAGATAGCTGAAGGCGCTTCGAGCCAGGAGGAGCAGAGTCCCGAGACGCCGGACTCCCCCAGCCCCATCTCCAGCTTCTTTAGTGGGTCTGGGAGTAAGCAGCTGCCTCAGGCCATCATCATCGGAGTGAAGAAGGGCGGCACGCGGGCGCTGCTGGAGTTCCTGCGCGTGCACCCCGACGTGCGCGCCGTGGGCGCAGAGCCCCACTTCTTCGACCGCAGCTACGACAAGGGCCTCGCCTGGTACCGGTGAGTCTCCTCGACCCGGGCAAGGCCTCCTGCCGCGAGCCAGACCTTGTGCGAAGGGAGACTCAAGATGAGTCAGGGAAGTGGCAGGGGTACAGCTTCGGACCACCAGGGGCGGGGAGGGACGGAGGAACGACTGCACTGGAGCGCAGGCAGCGCCTGGAATCCCGCCCCCGGGCGGTTCCTGGTGCGCCCAGCTAGGCTCTGGCTGCAACCTAGCCAGACTTCTCTCGGAGCGCTGGCGGAGCAGTGGTGCGCGGTGCCCTAGGATTAATTGGGCGGCCTCGCCTTGAAGAAGCGGGGCGGTGGCTGAGACAGCGCTCGGGAAACGCGCTGCTCTCTAACCATGGCGATGTCCCGTACGAATCATTCCAGGGTTGCTCGTATTTTATTTTTCTTGTTGGAGCCCGGGACGCTGGGAGGAATGTTCTGTGCCTCTCATGTCACAGTCTCTTTCCTAGACCAACTTCTAGAACAGCTTCTGCTCCGCAGATGTGTGTGCAGGACCAACGGGGTTCTGCCAGAGCTGCTGAGAGCCTGAACTTTTTTTTGCTGCAGCCCTAGTCACTGGAACCCGAAGGGGTTCAAATCGCCTCCTTGTCGAGCCTCTTAGGCTCGAGAGGGCAAGCTGGGCGGGTGGGCTCGGAGCCTCTGCTCGCTGCGGAGCGTGGAGCGGTGCTGGTCCCTGTCGGGCAAAGGCACGCACTGCAGCAGTCAGCCGCAGCGGCGCACAGCTTGGAACGCTTCCCGGCGCCCTCACGCAATGCCCGCCCGAGCATTTCCGCCTCCCAGGCCTCGGTGCTGGGAGAACAAGAACGCAACTCTCCGCGCGCCCTGTATACATCGAGGTGCAAAGAATATTCTGAGCCCTTTGATTGAGAAATGTAGATCACTTCGGAAATTCTGTTCTCAGATCGGGTTATGAGTTCTTTTCCAAAGGGACAGCGGGACTGGGATTACCATCACGACCTCTGCCCACTGCTTCCCGGGGGCTACTGGTCTTTGGGGTGAGCAGTTGGGCGGGGGAGGGGGGAGTCAGATTCTTGTCTCTAGAAGCCCGGTTGCCTACCGAGACCCTGGGCACTGGCCCCACCTTCACCTTTCTGGTCACCACCTCTAGCCCCATCCAGCAGGACTAGCTAAAGTCCCCGGCACTTTTCCAGGCAGGCCCAGTTAGCTTCAAAGAGGCTGGAGAATTTTAAAAACAAGAGTGGAGAAACGAAGCAAACCCTACCCCCGTCTCCACTCAACTGTCTGAATCCGGATGGGATGGAGAATCAAAATACAAAAGGGGCTGACCTGGCGGATTAAAACCGCTCTTTTCCCAGCCTCACTCTCCCCGTGCGCTTTGTCTTTAATGTTTTTTATTATTGTCCGGAGTTGCCGAAGTCTCGAGGCTTAGCCATGCGTGACAGCCACCCTCCTCAGCATTCCCGTTGATTAAAAACGCGCGGGCCCTGGAATCCAGCGCCTGGATTCACGTCGGGGTTCAGAGCTGAGTTTCAGAGCTCTCATCTGCGGGGGTTGGGGGGAGTCAGCTGGTTCTAGCAGGACTGAGAAGGGTGAGCGCAAGGTGCAGTCAGGTGCCCTAATTGTCAGCTGTGGTCATTGATTGTATTGATGGACTTCTACCCCACCTCCCCTCCTCCTTGGGATGAGGACTCGGGCACAAGTGGCAGGCCCTAACTAGAGCCCTTCTCGGTGGAACCCGACAGAGCCCGAGGCGGCTCGGGGTTTTGTGAGATCAGATACGCTTGGGGCCGGGGTGAGAGGAACTGGCAGGAAAATAACTGAACCCTTCATGTCAAGCGGTTTTAGACGTACCTGGGGCGGGTTTTGGAAATCCCCACAGAAAGATTCACACAGTCTCTTAGGTGGGTGCCCTCCACCTGCCGTGTTCTTTTTGACTGACTCGTGGACGCTGAACGAAGCCTCGGTGCAAACTTCGCGCTGCGCCTGGGGCGGGGAGCGCAGCTAACGAGCTTTAGGTCGGAGCCGGGCTTGGGAGCCGCGCCACCAGCTGCAGCGCCGGGAAGGCTAGACGGTCCGAGGGGGCTTGGTCAGGGTGCGTGAGACGGGACACTCCTCAGCCTTCCGAGCCAGTTCCCTAAACGCACAGGCAGCACTGTAGGGAGCCAGAGGCGCAGAGCCCTGGCGGTGACCCGGGAGGAACCAACTGCTAATTTGGCAAGTGTCCCAAACGGTGCGTTCCGGACTGCCCCAGCACTGCGTGACGAGATCGCAGTGTGAGTGGATATTTTTAAGATAGAAAGCACTTTCAATGCTATCTGCCTAATTAAAACTTTAATTTACAATATTCCAGGTATCTGAGTGAAATGTGTGAGTTGCATAATTGTTTTGAAGGTGGCCGTTTTAACTTTAAACTGAATACACCGTGGAAACGACCAACACAGACAGATTTGCCTAAAATCCGGTGGTGTCCAGGGTACCCCCCTGGCCCAACCTGGAGTTCTGTCTGCTCAAAAAATCCATGCTCCGAGCTGAGCTCTGTGACATCTCCTGCCGTGTGATAAGGTCAGGCAGCTAATTAGAGAGGAGTATAAATAATAATTAATGGGGGATGCAAATCAGAAACATGGTTAAAACAAGTTTGCAAAACCAGAACATTAAAAGAGGAGACATTCTAACGGCATTTAAGAAAAAAATACCCCATGGACATGGATGATTGAGTCCCAGGGTCACCAGGTAATCTGCTGTCCAAGGAAGTCATAGACTGTGTCTGAGCAAGTCCTTAATAGGTTTAATTGGTTGACTCAGCCCTACCAGGGGCCTAAGCAGTGGCCCAGGGCCTGGATGATTTGCATGACCCCTCGGAATTTGACTGGTTCCTTCCACTTGTCCCAATGAGACACCTTCAGCTCCATGAGGAGGGCTCGTGGCAGGACAGAGCCTGCGGAGATGGCAGTGTGGGGCTGAACCCCATCACCCAAATTTCTGCTGCCGTGGAAATCCGGCTTATTGGGGCTGCCCATCTACTCTGGAACCTGAGTTTGTTTTAGTCTGATTAAGATTCTTCTGGGTTTACTTTCCCTGTTCATTATCCGGCTCTCTCCAGTCAGCCTCCCAAACCTAACAAATGCTGATGAGGACCCCACAGAGTGGCTTATGGGGCTCTTTGGTGAAACTGGCCATTACCTCTTGGTCCCTGGCCCAGATGGAGTCTGAGAAATGAAGGCCTGTGGTTCAGGAGAACATAAGGAATGCAAAGGTGGAGAAAACATCCGCTCTGGACATTTAAACTTGGCATATTGATTTAACTCTCAGATGGTCAAACATTAAATATGCAATTTTTAAAGTTTCTCTTTTATTTGCCTTAAGTTTTGGTAGACCTTTACGAATGTTAATGTCCTCACTTCGGGAAGTAAGTTGGTCCAATACTGTATGATTTGTATTTGTTACAAATTTGCTTTCCACTTAATAGTGGCAGAAACTTCTTTCCCATCTTGGTTCCCCTTTCCATTTTTAGTTGTACAAAATAAGCTGATACTTTAATGCTGTAGCCAACATTTGAAAAATTGCGTGTGTGTGTGTGTGTGTGTGTGTGTGTGTGTGTGTGTGTGTGTGGTTTAATAACTTTGGTAGCTGACATTTACTAAATGTTTCCTCAATGTGCCAAGCACTGTTTCAAGTTTTACAGGATTAGCAAATTTAACCCTCATTACAGTCTTGAGAAGTAGGTGCTTTTACAGATAAGGAAATGTGGGCACAGAGAAGTTAAGCAACTTGTCCAACCTCTCACAGCTGGGAAGTGAGTAAGCTAATACATTAGACCAGGCAGCCCCACTCCAGAGGTCATTCTTTGCCAAGCTCCCTTCCCTTAAGTGAGCCAAACAAGATGTTGGTCATCTGCGATGAGTTCAAAGTGGTTTGCTTTAAGAGAGTTTGAAAGTTTTCCGCCTGCCTCCATGCATCTCAGTGTGGATGGCTCACTTTAAAGGAAATTCAGTTTTATAACATCCCAAGTAGGTATATAACTAGATTGAAGACCATGGTGGCACTTTTATTTCTTTGCCCAGGACAGCTAGAATCAAAGGAGCCATTAAAATGACAAAAATATCCCTCAAGTATGAGAAAACATATAGAGTGTCAGTCCTGAGGAGTAGATTTAGTCTCTACCATTGCCCCTTTTCAAGGCTGGGAAGTGTAGGCCATAGGGTTAAATGACTTTTAAAACTCCTTGAAATAATTTTATTCATTTAAAAAACAGAGTGTCCTCAAATCAATGCGAGTAATTAACTTGTACTTATTCACCAGAAGACAATTATAGTTAACAATTTAAGCAGATTTCTTCAGAATGAGATCTAAAACCCAGTAACTGCAGAAACTGCTCTCTTGAAAGCCAATAGCTAAACAAAGCAGTTTCCCCTGCATTTTTAATTTAGCAAAGGCTGAGAAAACTAATTTCTCCGTTTCCCTAAAAACCCTGTTGCCAAGACTGTTTCTGTCTTCACTGAGGGAAATGTAAGATAAGATCTGATTGAGGATAATTCGTTTTGAAATAATTGCACTCTCATTCCTAGAGTTTAGACCAAGTATGCAGCTCACTTCCAAGCTGCTGGGTGAAGATCAGAAATTTACATTTATATGCAACAATTTGAAGTACAAACCATCATGTTTCAAAGCTGTCAAGATTTATTAGCAAGACAGTGTAGCATGTGTTGAACCCTGTTTTTAATTAGGCACCTAAATTAGACCATAAAATGGTTGATTAATCTTTTACACATTGAGGAGAAAATATAACATAAATTAACCTAATCATAAGTGTTTTCCCAGATGCTCTGAGTTAATAAAATAGTCAATATTTAGTAGCAGCTTATTTGTTTTAGATAAATAAAATGCTGCAGTGTTGGAATTAAATTACACTATTATCTTCCAAATGATATGTTATTATTGAGCAGGTCTCTACAATTTAGGTTGCAGCCCAGACCTTAAAAAATGATCTTCAAAGATGTACTACTACAATTAGGAATTAAATACTGACT